AAAGAGGCCACCAAACAGGATTCCACGGGGCGGTAGGAAATGAAGGGCCTGGCCTTTGGGGAAGTTGCCTCTGGCTGAGGGATGCCAGGCAAGTTGGGTTCCTGGCGCTGCTGTGCACTGAGACTGCGGGGTCAGGTCCCAGGCGCAGGGCCCAGCCCTCAGTCCCAGGCCTGGGAGAGGAGAGGCGTGACTGAGCCCACACTGCGAGAGCTTTCCTGTGTTTCCTTAGAATCTGCCTGATTCTAAAGCTTTGCTCCTAAACATTTCAGAATGGAATCTGGTTGAGCCTGGCAGAGAATTAAGGTATGCTTGCTTTTCCATGCCAAATTCTTAAAAACACCTTCTCTCTCCCCGCACCCTGCCTCTCCAATATCCTATGTGTTATATATATTCTTTCAAAGAAAGCATAGTTGATGGTGTCCCTAAATAAGGACAGAAGCCGTACATATTAAAGAAAGAAAGAAACAAGACCAGTAAGTCAGCACAGTTAAATGATGGGAGGGCAGAGAAGACACCAGAACAAAGGTCTATGTAGGAATTCACAAAGGCCAGGGACTGGTGCACGGGGAGGGCTGGGGAGTGAGGCCTGGCTTACCAGGACCCCTCCCCTCTGCAGTGCCACTACATGTCACTTATCTATTCAGTTACCACCTTGATAACTAGAGATCATGCAACCCAGCAAATCTCCACCCCCAAGCACATGTGGGTCCCCACTTGTGAGGCACACATGCACTCCCTGAGCACTCTTTTCGAAGCCAGTGTGTACAGGAACTTGGTTGGGAGTTGAAAGACCAAAGATATTGACTCAGATTTAAACATTTGCTCAGGATCAACCACATCCAAGGTCATCTGCATGTGTAAAGCTAATCTGCCCCCAATTAGGCCACTTACTACTTCTGTTGAGTTCCAGTCTGGTATCAGCTGCTGGCTGATTATCTCCCTTTGGCTATCTTTAGGCAGCTTAAAGTCAACCCAATCAATACCCAATTCATCTTCTTCAAAAACCTGCTCTTCTGCCATGTTCTCTATTGTGGTCAATGGCACCACGCTTGTCTGGTCACTGTAATTCAGAAATATCAAGTCTACCTTTAGTCCTCTTGCCCTGATCTCTGTCTGAGTCCTGTTGATTCTACCTCCTCAGTGATGCTCATATGCATCTTCCCACTTCATTGATTCAGGCTTCTGTCACTGCTCATCCAAATTACTCAAACAAGGACTCATCTCCTGGCCCTTCTTCAATCCAGTTTCCACTTGGCTGTGCCAGCGTCATCTTCCTAAGACTCAAATTTGATCATATCACTCCCCTGCTTCAAATCTCTCAGGGAATGTGGGCAGGACCTGCCACTGTACACTGGAATTGGTGCACTGGTTTCTCCTCATGTTGCTGGAAGCAACTTGGGAGCAAAGACAAGGCTACTTCCCTTTATGCCTAGCAAAATGCCTGGCACATAGCAGGTGCTTCATAAAAATTTGAGTGGAAGGATTCCAAGTCTCACCAGATGCCACCTGGATGTGTTAATAGCAGAGTAGGGCGTGGTTAATAGCAGAGGCTTCAGACTGGCAAACCTGACAGGTCTGAGTGCCAGCACCACCAACCTTCAGCTATTTGGCCTGGGGAAGATTTCTTACCTTTTGTCATCCTTGGTTTACTCAGCTGTTAAATTAGAATACCACCCCCTCCCTTACAGAGAATGGGAAAATGAACCTGAAGGGGTTAGCACTCTGCCTGGCACAGAGAAGCTCTCAATAAAGAGTTGCCAATCATCAGTTAAACATAAAGGGTTAGAAAAGAATCCAGGCCCTAGCTGGTTTGGCTCAGTGGATAGAGCATCGGCCTGTGGATGGAAGGGTCCTGGGTTCGATTCCGGTCAAGGGCACATGCCAGGGTTGCTGGCTCGATCCTCAGTGGGGGGCATGCAGGAGGCAGACGATCAATGATTCTCTCTCATCATTGATGTTTCTCTCTCCCTCTCCTCTTCCCTTCCTCTCTGAAATCAATATATATATATTCTCCAGGATTTTAAAGCTAGAATTATTAGGCTCCAAGAAGCAAAGTGACAATCTCACAAATTTAGCAAGGGGTAAAATCAAACTTAAAACCCAATGTCAAACAAGGTAACTTGCTGTTACTCTATTCAGCTATGGATGAAAAAGGGACCATATACTAAACCTGACAAGCTCAGGGGAGGCCTGCGAGGTGGGCCTTATAAACTTAGAGACCAAAAGTAACCACACAGGATAGTCTGAACATAAAAATTCCTAACCGAAAACTAGTCATGGCGGTAGCCACATCCTAGGACTATAGCTTCCTTGACAAAGGTCAGTCTTTTTATTATTTTTTAAATTTTCTAGAGAGATTGAGAGAAGCATCAATGTGAGAGTGAAATATCAATTGGCTGCCTCTTGCATGCCTTGACTGGGGATGGAGCCAGAAAAAGCCCTAGATGTGCCCTGACCTGGAATTGAACTATGGTGCATGGGCAAACATCCAACCAACCGAGCCACACCAGCCAAGGCGACAAGGTCAGTCTTAAATGAGCCTGTTGTATTTTTGCATCTAAGATAACATATCATTGGAATGTCAATCCCCTTTCCCAGATCTCAGGGATACCTACCTCACCAGAGCATCCCACAGAATCCCTCATTGTTATCTTGTTCCCCTGTGTACCATCTCCATGTGCTGTAAATGTCAACTATCTTATATCCACCAATGTAAGTCTGTTTTACTTTTTATACAATCTCAGAGATCCCCCCCCTTTGCTTTCTCCTCCCTAATCTACCAATCAATTTCATGTACCTCCCCCCTTATGTCTCCTCCTTTGATTCTAAAGTATAAAATAAGCTGTAAAACTGCCATTCTTAGGAGTATTTTCTCAATTTATTGAGATTTTGCTTCCTGGAATTTGTCATCCATTTGGCTCAAATAACTCTTATCTCTACAGGTTTGTACATTTTTTATGAAGACACAGCTGTTTGGTGGACTTACTCTACAGTACAGGTAAGTGAAAGTGCTTTGTGAATAAGACAGACTGTAGATATAGGGTATTCATAGATGTGCCTAGCATATTGCAAACATGGATATCCATCTCTAAACTTGGACTTGGGCTAGCATGCCTTGGGGCAAGTTCATAATTATAGCACTGTTGATCTTTCCTATTGTCAGCTGTAATCATCTGTTAAACTAGGAATTAAATGATTCCTCCTTGGAGCCTTCACTAGATCCCTGGTTCTTTAAAGTGAAGAAAGGGACAGTGCTATCATCTGAAATTTTTTTAAAAAATTGATTTTAGAGAGAGGGAGAAACTTCGACCTGCCATTCCCCCTACCCGTGTATTCACTGGTTGGTTCCTGTTTGTGCCCTAACCCGGAACCTGCAACCTTGGTGTGTCAGGACAGTGCTCTCATTGAGCTACCTGGCCAGGCCCCCTTCCTCTTTTGAGAACCGCTTGGTTACGTGGAGTTTTAGACTATTAAGTTTATGTTCGGCATATACAGTTCTCAATCTTTGCCCTTTCCCAGGCTCACCTGCAGTAGGGGACCTCTTAGCATTACAATCATTATGCCATGAAGAGGGTATCAGAGGAGCTTGTGTTTTATCATGCACGTGTCCACTCTGCCAAACAGGACTTGTTGACAGAGATTCAGGCAATGGGGCTCTCCTATTATCAGTGGATGCCCGGGATCCCGGGGACAGAGGGGTGCAGAAGGAAGGACTGAACGACAGGACATCCCCGGGCACTCTGCAGGGGAAGCTGGGCTCTGACCAGAAAGTGAGAGAAAAGCGAGGAAATGGTTACAAGGTTCTTTAGTCCCCCAGGTTCTTCCTGGCGAGCAAAGTAAGACTGAGTTCTTTCCAATGTTAGACTGAGACCAGGGACCCTTCAGAGCCTGGGGTGAGGGGATGAAGCATGAAAGCCAGTTGCTACTTTACCAAGAAACACACAAAGCCAGCTTTGTTTCAGCCAACAGGTACTCTAAAAACTGAACTCAAATGAGAATTTTCTAGTTTACTGATCACAATATAATGTATATGTAAGCACAATGTAATGTGCTTTGATGTGTCTACCCAGTTTGGGGTGTGGCTTTCCTAGTGTATAGGACACTGGCACCTCTTTATAAGGTGTCATGGACATTTCATGTTGGGCTCAGCAGGCACCAACTTGCTCAGAACTCAACAGCTGCCTGTGCAAGCAGATCCTGCAGCACAGGGCGTGACAAGACCATGTTGAGTCTGGTGCAGCCGCAGAAAATTCCTTGCTACAAGCAGCCATGACCATGACTCTGGCCCCTGGAGCCAAACCAGCCACTCAGGAGGGCACAAGTCCTGCTGTATACATGGAGTCTGCATTTCCTCAAGACAGTGATCCCAGACACAAGGTTCGACCTGTGACTCACATTCCCAAAATGAGGGTGTGCAACCACCAAGGAAGAGCTAGCAGGAGCAACCAGGCTGGCAGCACCAAGCACCCTTCCTCTCCTGCTCCATCACTCCCATGTGCCCATTCTCCAAGTCACTTTCCTGGTCACATGCACTCCACATACAGGTATTCTAATGGCTTGGGGTGTGATTTGAGGTGTGGTCCTTGGTATGTGGTAAGGATGAGGACAAGGCGCCAGAGCACACGGGCTACACAAAAGGCTTGGTCAGTGCTTCCCCATGATTTCCAGCAAACAAGGGCCTAGTTAGTGTCATCCAGAGACTCCGGAACCCCCTTATAGAATTATAGCTCTACAGGACCCGTGACAAAAGTTTAATGTAAAGTTAATAAGGAAACACCACATACCCTGGCTGGGTTGCTCAGTGGGTTGGAACATTGTCCCGTACAACAAAAGATGGCGGGTTCGATTCCCAGTCAGGGCACAGTTCCAGGTTGTGGGTTCAATCTTTGGTCAGGGTGCATATGAAAGGCAACTGATTGATGTTTCTCTCTCACTTTGATGTTTTTCTCTCTCTCCCTTCCTCTTTAAAAAAACAAAGCAAAAGACAAAACACCACATAATTGTTTTTCCATTATTAAAATTTATCAAGAAAAAAATTTATCAAGGGAATAATTTGAGTTTTTAGAGGCTTGGTTTAGCAAAGTAAAAGCCTAGAAACTTCTGGGAGGACAAGGGTAAGGGGAGAAATGGGAGATATTTGTAATACAATCAACAATAAAAAATATATTTAAAAATAAAATTTTTACCCTTGACAGGGGGGAAAAAAAGACTAAAACCATTTAAACATTTTAAATCTTTTAACCTACCAAGTGGGATCTCAGTTAAATAAATCCTCTCATGCTTTAGGAAAGAGACAGCTTTCCTAAATCATAAAAATTGACTTCCAAGTCACACTCTTACCTCGACTGCCCTGTAATCCTACAAACCACACCTCACCAGGGATGGCTTCCCTGGAAGTCAGGGTGGGATAAATAGGCGATATCCTGACACAAATTAGATGTAGACTCTGATATGCGATCATACAATTTATCATCCAACCAGGATACTTTTGAGAGTGAAAAGGGGTGCTGTTCACCACTTGAGAACAGAAGGCATACAATGGGCACCCTCGGATAAGGCCGTTTGGGAGACTAAATTTCCCAATATGCCCTGCCCTGGAAAGTAAAAAAGCTCGACTAGAACAAAGCACTCTGGGGCCTGTGGTTAGCACCATTTAAGAGGTAAACAGTATAGGGCTGGGTACTGGCACAGAAACTTCCTCCTTCCATGGGATACTTAACCAGACACAGAACACAACACCTGAGGTGAGATTTCAATGGATATTCAGTCTGGGGGAGAGCCTCTCACCCTCCCCAATAACTCTAGCTTCCCAAGGTGCAGAGCAGGGAGAGCCATCCATTGGTTCACTGCCCTGTGCCCCCACTGTGGCTAATCTTTAGGAGAATTCTGGGCCAGGTGCTGCTCCCACTCAACTTCCACCAACTTGTACAGCTCCATGGTGGCCTGAGCGTCTTCCACAGAGGAATGTCCACTTTTTCCAGCCTGAACGAGGGAGGAAGAGAAAAGCATTGGGCTGTAAGAAAGTGTTGTTTTATATGCATAACCCATAGACCAGACAATGGGGTGGGGAAGGCTTGGGTGCAGGGGGGGAGGTTGGAGAGGGCAATGGGGGGAAAAGGGCCATATGTAATACTTTCAACAATGAAGATTTTTAAAAAAGTGTTGTTTTCCCCCCTTCCCTACGGGTTCCCCCTAACCCCTTATATAAGCAGTTGTTTCTACAGTTAGTAGGCTGCAAAGGTAGAACTATGGTAGGGCCCTACTCCTTATTTAATTTCAGGGGTTCAACTCCTAGGAAGTCTGCTCTTATCTGCCTCAATCCTTTCTGTGGCAACATGTGAACGCCATATTCTTCTATTCTGTAGAGACAAGACATCTAGATCATAGCCAGGCCTTCTAAGTCTTCCATTTTCCCCAGTTCCAAACTCTCTCTTTATGACATGTCTACACCCTCTACCAGGCAGGTCACCCCTTTCTTGAATGCCAAATATGTGAGAGACATAAGAGGTCCTTGCATCCACTCTTAGGTCTTTAGACCACCACCACCTGGTTTCCTAGTTTCTTAGGGTTTTACACCCACTTAAGGCTTTTTTTTCCTTTCCCAAGTACAATTTGGAACACCGGTAGCGAACAGGAATTATTATCCTTATATACACATGGAGAGATCAATGGGCCTCTTAGCCCACAGCTCTTCCTTTAAGAGCAGCCTGCCTGGATTTCTCTACAAAGGAATTCTGGGCTCAGACCCTGGAGAGGCAGTAAGAAGGGACCCCCCAGTGTCCAACCAAGGGGCCTGGCAGCCTTTGGGGAGAGGTTACCTGGATGTCCCGGTT